CATATCCAATTCGACGACAGAGGCAGAGTTCATGGCAGCAGCTGATGCTACAAAAGACCTGATATGGTTGAAGAGCTTGTTCAATGAGATAGCTAATAATGTCTCATTGCCTATCCTACAAATTGATAATCAGAGTACTATCAAGTACATAAAAAATCCAATGTTCCACGCACGCACAAAGCATATTGACCAAAGGTACAAGTTTGTGCAAGATGAGTTCTCAAAGGGACGTTTTCAATTAGGCTATGTCAGAAGTAATGAATAACAGGCAGTTAAAAGTTGATTGGTGTAAAAACAGTCAAATAAGTAAATGTTAATCTGTATGAACAATGACTATTTTCATGCTCGAAGGAGGCTGTTGAGAATCGAGTATTTAATTAATATTATGTGCAGTTTCAGTGGCATCATTGTTTTATTATGTTTTATGCATCTGGCATCACTGTTATTTTTGTCATTCTAAAATTTGTCATGTAAACAGTAAGACGTATGTAAGTTCACTTTACCTTTTTTTTGTTAATGAAATCCAAAATTCAATTAGCCATCACTCTGCCTGTTAACTTAACATTAATAACATTTTTTAATGTTTAGAAAAGTGTCCTGACAATCCTTCGTCCAAACCCATTTCGAGTTTTTCTTAGTTAGATGGTATAAGGGATTTGCGATTGTCACTAATTTAGGGCAAAATTTTCCATAAAAATTAACCAGTCCCCAAAAACCTTTGAATTTCCTGGAAGTTTCTGGGTCTTGGGGCTTTTGCAATTGCTGATATTTTTTCATCAGTCTTATGTAAACAATTAGCATCAATTTTATGACCTAAAATTTGTATCTCATCTTGAAAAAAATTACTTTTCTCTAAATTTAATTTCAGTCCATGAGTTTTGCATTTCTCGAAGAAATTTTTTAAAGTATTTAAATGTGCCTCATTATCTGACCCTGTTATCTGCGCATCATCCATGAAGACTATACACCCTTCCATTCCTTGAAATAGTCCGTCTACGTAATGTTGCCACATTGCCGGCGCTGCATCTAGCTCGAACATTAATCTCTTACGCTTATATAACTCCTTCTATGTGTTTATTGTTAGCAATTTTTTAGTCTCAGGGTGTACTTTCATTTGTAAGTAAGCATGTTTAAAATCAATTTTTGAAAAATCCTTTCTCTCGCTCAAACATGAAAATATTTCCTCTATGGTCGGCAAAGGGTGTTGATGCGTAACAAATATTTGGGTTTACTGTCACCCAGCAGTCAGCAGACAGTTGTATAGAGCCGTCCGGCTTAACTACTGATACTACCGGAGTTGCCCATTCCGAAATTTCAACTTTTTAGATTATACTCTCTTTTTCCAACCGATCAATTTCTTCATATATCCGGCCTTTTAACGCAAATGGTACTTGCCTAGCTCAACAAAATTTTGGTGAAACATTTGGCATAAATTCTAGCTGAACCTCATAATTCTTTCTCTCTCCTAATTTTCCATCAAAAATCTCTTTATATTGTTCCAATAATTTATTTAAACTACTCTTTTGAGACAGAAATTGACTTTATTGAGGACCATTCAATATTTATCTCTGAAAGCCATTCTCGACCAAATATTGTGTCAAGGTTTTCCTTAACAATGTAAAGGTTTAAGTTTTTATTTTGACCTTTATATTCTACATTAACTGCAGTAAATCCTAATTTTCTCCATTATATGTTTTAAATACCAGACTTGTATTTTGAATTTACTTTTTCGAAATTTGTCGGAAATTTCTTAAACTCATTACTGATACTGCATTCCCTGTATCCAGTTTTATAGCTACTGAGTGTCCTATATTCACTTGGACCATTATGGATGGTTTTCCATTTTTCATCTCACTGGAATGTATGCTGTTTATAGGAACTGCATTTTCAGTTACTACATCTAATAGTTTTTGTTTAGCTTTCATTCTTTCAGCGTTTTTAGTGTTGTAGCATGATCTTTCAATGTGCCCAATTTTCTTACAAAATCTGCAGATACTTGTCTTAAATTTACAAGAATTTCTATCATGGTCAGTCCCTGTACATCATGAACACATTTTCCATTTAGCACTCTTAGCTGAGAATTTTTGTTTTTCAAACTTTTGTTTTGGAGCGGTTGACTTAGTTTTACCTTTACTTTTGGCACTAAATTCCTTAATTTCCACTGGTTTCCCAATTATTTTGTTTGCACTTTTTAATGCTTTTTCCATTGCCTAAGCTATTTTTAAAGTGTCATTTAAACTGATATTAGTCTGCTCAAAATTTCTATCCAGAATAGCCCTATCTCTTAGCCCACTAATAAACACATCCTTACACTATTTAACATATTCTGATTGTAAGCACACGGTATGGCAAGTGACCTTAACTCTGTCATATACACACTAATTGTTTGCTGCTTTCGATTTAAAATTAGATGCCTGTTAGGAATTATAAGTGGCTTAGGATTTAAATGATTTCTCAATGTTGTTTTTAACACATCATAAACTTTATCGAAAGGATTATCAGGAGCCAGCAAGTTTTTTAAGAGCCTACACATTTTTCCAGACAAACTGGAAATCAGTACTTTCCCACGCTTGTCCTGTGAAATATTTTGTATGTATAAATAAATTTCGAATCTCTCTAAAAAGGATTCAAACTGTTCTTTATGTTCATTATATTTTTCAATCTGAACCGAAAGTTTCGATTTGTCCATTTGTGGAGTAATAACTGAAGCAAGTCTCTCCATTAGAGCTTTATTTTGTTATATTAACTGAGTTACAAGCTGCTACATGGTAATTTCTACGAAGGAAAAATGATTATAAAAGCTAAACCTTGAGCAGTCTTCGGGGAATTCCCTAATCCTTATTCCAATTGCATTTACGCACTTTTATTATTTTTAAAAATCCGACATCCTCGTCACCAGATGTCATATATCCTTTTAGTGAGTAATTATTTCACAAAGACACTCCATTTAACTACATGATACTTTATTCTGTGCAAAGTACATCATCCATTCACATACACGCGTATCCTACAACTACTCACATTCCAGTCTTACTATCTGGTTTACAATTACTTCGCACACTTGCAATGCTCGGCACAGTGCCAGCTTTAAGTTCGATTATGATTAAGTTCTCGATATACCACAGTTACTCCTTCTTATATGACAATGAAAACTTTTAGCAAGATGGCAGTAAAAGGTTCTGGGCATGATATGATAATGCCAAGCTCCTCATGAATAGTTATGTCATGTTATAACCAATGTACCATGGTGCCTCCAATCTGCCTCAGAACACTGTTCTGGGCAGTTTGCAACTTTTTCCTGTAAGATTTACATGAGTATTCCCAGAACGGACAAGCACAACAGAGCATGGGCCACAAGATGGACTTATAAATGAGTAGTTTGTTATCAATCAATAGATTGCTGTTTCAGGCAAGTAGGGGGTAGAGTCTTGCTTTATGCATCCGAAACTTCTGGATAACAGAATGTATGTGTGGGTACCATGTGAGAATCATCCCAAGATAAGGGACTTGCTTAGAACAGAGGAAAATGTTTCCATAGAATTGCAGATGCTGATTAATGATCTTCTTTCTGGTAAATAATACTGAAAGAGTTTTGTCAATATTTACCTTAATTTTCCAATTTATTAGCAGAGAGCATTCATTTTGTCTGCTAATAAATGGCACTATAAAACAAAAGGAGATGGAAGCAAAAGTCTTCTTTAACTCTTCGGCAGCAATATTAAGCAATTCTTTCTCTCCAAATATGTGCAATACCTGTCAGTCATAAATTTGTAATATGAGTTTGCTCATTTGTGTCTACTGCGGTGTGTAACTGGAATTTGAGCTGAGCTCACTGACGACCATCAAAGGTTAAGATTAAGAAATAATACAGAGAGAGAGTTTGATTTACAAAGTTGGCAACCTGGGCAAACTCTCTTATGCTGCTCTTCTAATTATTTTCAATGCTGTAGATATCACTGAAGCAAATTACATTAAAGTATATTATGAAATAATGCAATAATTTACCATTTCTTCATTTATAGTTATTTAAACAAAAAAGATACATTTCATCTATAGGTTTTATTTTAATGGTTTCAGTTTGTTATGCGTTACATAATGTATAATTTTATATCATTTTAAACAAATATCTCCCACTCTCTCCTTTTTTAAGGGGGGGGCTAGGATTAAGAGAAGAAGAAATTTTTGCTGATTTTATTACAAATCTTAATTAAACTACAGAAATAAGACCAAAATAATGCAATTACATGTTCAAATCAGTTTAATAATTAGGTGCATGACCATTCCTATTACAATCAAAAGATTAACTAAAATCTTTAAATGAATAATATTTTCAAAAAATACTTTTTCTTCATTTCCCTTAGCTGAATAAACCAGGAACATTTTTTGTTTCTTTTAGGCAACAGACTCATTATGTGAAAACTATGATTCAAATTATTCTTTAATATAATGACAAAATAATGGGCTGACTAAAAGACATACTTGGAGCATCATGCTTGGAGATGTAAAGTTTGACTAGAGAGCCTTGAAGTTTTAAAACATTGAATTTTTTCCTCATAGTTTAAACATATGCAAATTGGCAATGAGTCTCTGTTCTTCATTTATTCATCCTTTTTCTTTCTAAATATTTGTTTTCAAATCGGACCAAAGTGGAATCGAGATCATTTGAAAATGGGCTATATTATATCTATATAGATATAGATATATAATTGGCCAATACCAGTTTTTAAGAAATGGTTAACAACAAAGCGAGTTTGTTCCAGTGATATAGGTAACATATTGTGATTTAAATGAGTAATACTGTACATGGTAAAAAGCAACTGATTGACATAAACAGCAATTATTCTTCGCCAAACACATCATGAAAACGTACACTGGTTATCATCCTTTCCAGTGTTAAGGGCATGGAGTGTTATGTTTTCATTTCTCCACACCACTGCCAAACAAAACTTTTGGGAAATCACTGAGATACTTTCATTAGGGAAAAAAGAAATGATTATTACCTGCCCTTCTCCAATTTCAGAAAGCATTACTAGAGTTGTAATGCTCTGTTCTTTTATCATTCTCCAGAATTCAATTACTGTAGATTCTAAAGGATCTTGAGTTATAATAAAAGACAAAGATCTGTCATAACCCTGTCGAAAATAAAAATATAAGATCAAGACCTAAATATAATATTTAATAACAATTTTTTAGAAATATGCTTAAAAATATATATTTAAAATTTTTCTAAGGATAGTAAAAATTCAGTATTTTAAATATCTGTGTTTAAGGCTTTGCACACAATATAATTTGATACCACTTCAAGAACAGCACATAAAGCATTAAATATAATGATACTTTGAATCATTTGCACATTTCAAACTTATAAAGTAACTTTTGCAAATTAGGAATACGTATGAAAGTACTGGGTTGTATAACATTTTTTATAAGCAGCAAGACATTCAGAATATTCACCATAGTTACTCCACTAAACAACTTTGGAGTTCTTTATAAAAATTCTCGAGTTGCACAATTAATCATTAAAAGAAATAAAATTAATCAACACATTTGCATTCAAATGTTAGTCAAGTGAAAAATAACAGTAAGATGACATTCTCCATAGGAAAACAGAAGACTGGGGTTGAAGTTGTTAAGTTCATTTGATTGTTGATACCATGCAGATTTACCATAAAAAAATCTGATAAAAATAGAGATTAATTATTTAGTTACTTCATCTTCTTCCCAGATGTTACTTTTGTACAATGTTTTTTCCCTAACCAAATTCAGTACTTCCTGACTTGAAATGAAAGTGTAGTTGATTGTTTCTGTGTAGGAGAGAAAAGGAAGTTTTGTAAATGTGTTGTTTTTCTTAGACATTCCCAATTCACTCAATTTACTGTTATTTTGTGACTGACTACTCTTTGATAACTTGATGTCACCTTTACAGCATTTTCCTCCTCTTGCCTTCTAATTTTCTGTTAAAGGGAATTTGACCTCATAGACAAACACCAACATGTTCTTTCAGCATCATTATTTTCAATGCATGAATAACAGCCTATATGATCTAAAGTCTTGCAAGGTATTGTAAGATCCTGGCACTGAATTAGTTCTGCTTTGATTCTTTGCTTTGAGAAAAAAGTAAGTATTTAACTTTGTTATTTTTGTTAGATGTTCACAGAAACACTTACTGCTTTTATTTTGTGACTGAAGGTCTAGACTTTACTCACATGCATTAAATAGTAGTTCCTCTGCATAACATTCCCAATCTCCATTCTTAATTATCAAGTGCGAACATTTTAGTCTTTTATGGATTCTCTCAGTTTTTTTTTTTTCTTCTTGAGAACTCAATAACTTTAGTACAGCATTTAATTTGTTTGCAATCCAAATAGAAAAAAAAATAATACAGTATAAAGTCTTTAATCCGGACGTCCATTATCCGGAATGATCTATAATCCGGACCTCAAAGCCACAAACTTTACGCATGCGCGTTTAGCACAAAAACGAAGCAATTTATATTGAAAGAAATGTTTAATAAAGTAAACAAATAAATATTAAGCTTTTTTTTGTAAATTTTGATACCCTTTAGATAATAATTGCTCTTTATTTCATAAATTACGGTTTCATATTTTTAATTGTATAATTTCTGCATGCCATCTTACCAGATTTAAACTGATGATCTATAAATCCGGAATCACCGAGGTCCCGACGAGTCCGGATTACGGACTTTGTACTGTACTTTTTATCTTTTAGCACTCTGGCAACATATATCACGATTATCTCATATTTTAGCCCCTAGCTGCAACAGCAGTCGCTTCCTCCAGAGCTGTTAGGATAGCCCTTTACATGGACTAATGCAATACCAAGATATTCTGAGTATCAGGATTGCTAAATAAGATAAATGTGCAATTCCGTAGTTTTCCATTTTTATGACCTGCATAATTTATTTGTGAGTAAGATCTAAAGACATCAGCAATCTGAAATGATAACACGAATGATGAAAATAAAGAAGAAATAAAATGAAAGGCCAAAGAATAAATGAGGAGAAAATTATGCTTATAAAATAAGTATGAACAAAAGCATGAATAGCAAAATGACAAATACAGTACAGTCAAAATTCGTTAATCCAGACACCCATAATCCGGAATGGTCTATAATCCGGACCTCAAAGGTACAAACTTTCTGCGCATGCGCATAATACGTTTACGCATGCGCGTTTAATCTATAACGGACGGTATAAGCTAAGCTAAAATTATCTATTTCAGTTAATGTTGCAGATTGCATTGTTCCTTAATCTTTGAATTGGATCCGGCTTATTATTTTTTGCAGACTGTTTAGAGCAATTTATAAAAAGTAAGTTGGAACTTTCGATTATGTCAAATAGAATTTCCGATGCTGGATCTACAAAGGGAAAGCATGTTTCGATGTCCATCAAACAAAAAGTGGAATTGCTGCAAAAAATGGATAAAGGCTCCTTTGTTTCTCTAACCATTCCAAAATTTGTTTATCAACTTTACACACTACTCTGCGCGGGGGGGGGGGGAAGTCGCGGCGCGCAATGAACTGGAAGTTGATCTGTCAGCACTATCCTTATCTTCAGAGCAGTTGTTTTTATTTTATTCAGCTTAATTCCTTACTAAATGGAGTATTTCATCTCTATGTACTCCGTCTTTGATATGATTTAAATCAAATTCCTCGTCATTATAAATATCACAATATCACGAATACACATCAAATAGTTTTCTGGCTGCAATTTTATAATTTCAACTATGCGTAATGTATGCTTTACGCATGCACGCGTTGAAAGAAATGTTTAATAAAGTAAACAAATAAATATTAAGCTTTTTTTTTTTTTTTTTGTAAATTTTGATACCCTTTAGATCATAATTGCTCTTTATTTCATAAATTACGCTTTCATATTTTTTAATTTTATAATTTCTGCATGCCATCTTACCAGATTTAAACTGATGATCTATAATCCGTAAAAATCGATAATCCGGAATCGCCGAAGTCCTGACGAGTCCGGATTAAAGACTTTTGACTGTATTGGAATTCAAATGCTTTCATAACACTTATTGGAAACTTCCAATTCTATTTAACTAGAACTACACTTAAAATAACATACCTGAATAAAAGATGCATTTATATAGGAAGAATGATCTCTAGAAGGAGAAGGTGGTAGAATGACTCTATTAAGATCATCTATAAAAGAATCCAAATATTTAGAAAATTACATTGAAATGAAACAAAGTTTGCCCAAGTTTCAAATAAAAATGGTCATGCTTTCAAAAGTATATGCAACAGAAAACATCATCAAACAGCTTACTTACTTTTTGTAAATGGGATGAGAAAACTAAAAAATGCCCATAAAGAAATAAAATACCTATTACTTACTTTGCATGGGAAGATGTCAGAAAACAAATCATAAATAGCTCCATATCTAGATGTACTATATACATGTCTAAATGTATTATCAGTATATACTTACTTTGCCTCACTGACCAAAAGTTGAGTTACTTTAAGGACAACTGACAGCACTTCAACAAAATGTATACATACATTCATGCACTTATGTGAATTATTAACTATTTTATGCAAAGCAATGCACAGTTCAAGAATATCATGAAATAATAAATTTCACAACACAAAACATAATACTTTTCAAAGACAAAAATGCATCAATTTATCAAGTTTATAATCATTAAATATAGGCACAATTTAGTAAAAGGTACTGATACTATTCAATCAGTAGCAAAAAAGTATTTAAATTGTTCAATATAATACATGTTTTCAGCAAAGTTACTTACAAGGAATAATAAAATCATATCGATTCTTTCCTACATTCATATCCATAGTGCCAACACAGCAAGTCTTTGGATCTTCAATAACATCACCTAGTTTCTATAATAAGATATAATATATGAAAACTTGGCATTTACAAGATTTTCAAAAAATTCTATAAAGATTTATAAAACGAGTCACAATAGTGACAGAAAATTTAGATATATATCCATTGTCCTTCTCTCTATCTCTTTCACAATAAATATGTGTGTGTATAGGCGTAAGAATATAGGTAGTGAATATAGATAGTAAAGTGTATAGAAATATATGTAATGAAGCAAACTTAGATGTAATGATGTAGAAACATTGACAGCATAGATGTAAAAATATTGCGGTGGAAATTTAATGAACATAGAGGTGGAAATGTAATGAACAGCAACTTGGGAGCCGACACAGATTAAATATTCATTTTTATTTCAGTAAACCTTTTGTGGCCACAAACTCGCAAATTACTCATGCATTTTCAAGAACATTTACATTTTGGATAGCTTTGCAGTAAAAAGAAAAGCAGCAGTCTATTTAGAATGAGATGCAAAAACAAGCACCTTGTGTTCAGAATTAAATCTTAATTGAGAATGAGTTAGTTTCATTTTTCTGTGCATTTGATCAGATAATTAATCATTAATATTGTAAAATTATTATTGGTTGTTTGAGTTTTATTACCATTTACGTCACCAGTGTCATATAAGAATCAAATGGCATAGAATCAAGTCTCGAATATAAGAATCAAAGTCTCGAAATGATGCAGCGCAGAAAAAAGTATTACCATTTTTACAATAAAGAGGGAAAATAACCAAATTAAAATTATGCATTAAGGGACTCTTGGCAATTTAAATTATAATTTATACTTATATATTTTTTACTTTTCTTACATATTCTCCCCTTCAAGCAGAGAAAGGCTTAGTGACAGAGAAGTCTTCTTAAAGAAAAAGCTTTAAAGCCATAACAAATGTAAATGTATGTAATAATTTTGACAAACGTAATTAAATAATTGTAAATTATAATTTTTAGTCCAAATCGGCATTAGCCCAGAAGAGCTATTAATCTCAAAACAGCTTTCTGAGTCGAATCACCATAAACAAGTGTATCGCTTTTCAAATTGTCGCCACCAAACATTATCGCTCAGTATTATATTTAAAGAAATTAAATAATGAAGAATCTGCATGAATGTATGCATTGTAGAGACATTAAAATTTTTTAGAAACAGGATAATTGAAAAATTAGCAACGCCTTCGGCAAGAATTGAACCACGGACCTCTGGAATACCGGCCCAGCGTGCAGAACCAGTACACCACGAAGGCATGCTAGGAAGGCGGGAGAAATACCTTATAGTATATCTATTTCAGATTTTGTTAAACTTTAACGAATTTTTGATTAAAAACACAACAGTTTTAAAGTGAACAATGGCAACACCTTATTCTTATCTCCAGTGCACGAGACTCTTTATCAGCAATTCTGAAGATATGCCGTTTTTAATTATTTTTAGCCCAATGTGGTGTTATTCCAAGTGCTCTTGAAACGTGTATGTTTCTGTAAAGTGGGGGATGCCCATTTGAGCGTACTACTTTCAAATCTTTCAAATTTTTGTTGTTGTTGCTGAACATAATTTTCTTTTGAAAAATAAATATAATTTTTAAAGTCCTATTACATTTTTCAGCATTTCAGTCCAGAAGTCTTTCTAGAGTGGGCATAATCATAATTCTTCATGGAAAGTTTTTTTGTTCTCTCAAAGTATTACATATAGAAACTTTTACATAATCATTACTTTTTCTAATTAACTGTTGTAACATATATAAAAATTTATGACACTAATTTTTATATTGATAAATTATATTTTAACATCATAAATATAGTAGAAGTAATATTGCAGAAATTATGATTTCATAGTTATCTTTCATTGACAATTTCTTATTTTACCAAACTGAAGTATTTCTGAATAAATCTTTCCATCAATAGAGCATATTCACTTGATATAACTAGTGTGTTTTTTCTACACCAGCGGCCAAGATATGTTTGGCAGTTACATGAAAAGGATGCCAATCCCTGCATAAAGTAATTGGTCTTTGTGAATTGCATTAATACATTCCATAATAAAAAATATAAAGTAAAAATTATAGTAAAAACTTTAAAAAAATCCGGAAGCTTTCAGATTTTACATTACGCCCAAAGGCACCTTTTTTAAAATCTTTTGTGTGCGTGACCTTTCATTCATTGAATGTTCTTTGCCCTTAAACCATAAAATTCAGTTCAATAGCAATATCGCAAACAATTTTAAAATGCGCTTATTTTTAGAATTTCCGACACAGTCTCATGCACTGGAGAAAAAAAAAAAATTTTTTTCGTACAGTCTTGCCATTGCTCACTTTATAATCATTGAGTTTGTTAATCAAAAATTTGTTGAAGGTGTTACAAAATATGAAAATGATAATAAAAAAAATTCAAATTCCAAATTAGAGCTTCCAGATGCTCATATTTGGTGGAAGATTACGTTATTCAAAATATGATAGCTCTAGCTACCATTGTTTTATCACAGTGTGAGAAACATACATACATTTATGCAGATTCTTCATTATCTAATTGCTTTAAATATAACACAGGGCGATAATATTTGGTGGCAACAATTTGAAAAGTGAACTGACATTTAAAGTTTTCAATGCAAAATGCCAAAATGAAATTAATAGCCCTTCTGAGCTAACGACCTTTGGGCTAATAATAATATATTAAAAAAATTACAGTCAGTCACCAAAATGAGTCATCAGTACTATCTTTTATGATGTGGTAAAAAATGAACAATTGTCTATATTAAGGTACAGAGGTCTCTTGTTTCTGAACCAACTCCCTCAACATAATCTATATTAACATACAATCATCTATAAATTTTAACCAAAATTTCATATTACTTATCTGTATTAATTTCACTTTTTTATTACATTACTCACAATCAATTTTATTATAATTTTTTAAATTATTGATATTTTATATTCATTATGACAATATTTATTACGAAAATATTAAATATTTGATATATTAAACTCAAAACACTGCATCCATTTTTTTCACTAGCATTCAAAATTATTTAATTTATTTTTTATATTCACTTCATTTTCAGAATGATTATAAAATTTTTAACATTAATTCAAATGATTTTGAAGTAATTCAAAATCATAATGATTAATGACATTACAATTTAACAATCCTCCTTGGAAAAAAATATTAAAATTCTTTATTTAATTCAAAAACAGTTTGTTAAATTTATATTTCTAATACCATAATATTTTTAATCATTCATTTTCATAAAACACTGTTATACTTTTAATCCAATATAAGAAGAAACAATATTACATGTTTAAATTTCAAAATAACATTTATTTAATTAATAAATTACTTTTTTTTTTTTTACTTATTACATGCTCCACCCTCAGGCACAACACAGAAAAGGGAGGACTGCCCTGTGGAGGTTTTTTTAAGGGAAAGTGGCTTGTATCCATGTTACACATGGAAAAACCATGAAAACACCCATGCAGCCAGCCCATTTATCGGGACTTGTATCCCGGATGGGATACTGGTGTTCAGCGGCATTTACCGCTTGGCCACTGATGGGCCAATAAATTACTTAGGACACAGTTATGAAAAAATTTAAACATACTCTATTACCAAAAACATAATAAAAGGCACCAATAAAATTAATAAATGCAAAACCATTAAATGAAAATATCAGAATACTTGTGTTTTCATTCTTTAACACTGAAAAAAAAAAAACAAAAAAAAAAACAGTATTTTAACACACTTTTATTGAAAGAATAATATGCATATGGGATAAACAACTGTAAGACCATACATTAGAATGAAAGAATTATAAACAGCTAAAAAGCATTTCTCCCAGTTCGAACAGCACCTTGGCAGCCGAAACAGATTAAATATTTATTTTTTATCTCAGTAAACATGTTGCAGCCACAAGCAAATTGGCACACTACTTGTGCCTTTTCAAGAACATTTGCATTTCGAATAGCTTTGCAGTAAAACGAGAAGCAGCAAATAGCAGTTTATTTAGACCGAAGTGTAGAAAGCAAGTAATTTGTGTTTTGGATGAAATCTTAATTTAGAATGAGTTAGTTTGGGTTTTCAATGTATTTGATAGAATAATGAACCAACACTGTAAAATTATTATTGGTTGTTTGAGTTTTATTTCCATTTACATCACCAACATTATGTAAGAATCAAATGCCATGGATTAGTCTTGAAATGACGCAGTGTATTTCTATTTTTAGAATACAAAAGATAAATTCCAAAATTAAAATTAAGCATCAAGGGGTTAATGCTAATTTAAATTATACTTATCTATTTTTTAAGTTTCTTACATTTATATATATACACACACATATTTTGGTCAAATGAAAAGATTAATGACGATGCTTAAAATCCTTTCCCCAAAAAGTGTATGAAACAGATATTCCGTTTCAAAGCCTTAAAACTGCCAGATGTTACGAGACAGGAACAGTTTTTGTCTCCTGTTGGATTAAGATGATTGTTTGATGAGCGAAAGTGCCTGAAAATGGCACTTTACCTGAGAAATTAACTATAGGAGCCACTTTGATGTATTCATCCACTTATTTCATGAGTTCAGACATAACGATATCATTTGGCCGGTAGGGTTTTGCATCTTTTCAACAGGTTTTTCATATTCTTGAAGGAAATGTAAGAGTCAGATTGTTGCCTTCGTCCAATAAAAAGTATATAATTTCATGTTTTATTTGACAGAAAAATTTTCGAATTAAAAGCCATTTTTATGCAGCATACTCATCAAACACACTTGTCATCTGAAATTGGAGGCGAACCCCATGCTACATACCACATTACTGCTTACAGCTGTTCCTCGCTACATGGCATCATGGATCTTTTTTTTTTCCAGAATACACAGTAAGATTATGGTTGTATTTGAAAATAACTGGTTATTCTGTATCCTCCCGGGGTCAATTTTTAGGGTAACCATCATCTTCTCATTTCACTACACCTTATGAAGACATTAAACACATACACAATATTATTACGGGAAAAAAATGAACGTACCTCGAATTCTATCGCAAGGCCAGTTTTATCAGTGTCACCAACTTTTTCTTTTAATAATTCATAGTGGTCTTTCAGATGCCTCACTTCTATTTCTGTGTCACCAAACTGTGCATGTTCCATTAATGCTCTGTACACAAAAATGTATTGTTTCTGAAAATGAAAATGTTTCTAAATTTAATTGCAAAAGCGTATTTAAATAGTATAAAATGTAAATAATTAATACATATTAATTGGATAAAATGATTCAGTTAATGCAATCTTAATACTCACTAGTGACTGGACCAAAAAATTTCGTTGATGACGTAAATTGCTTACATGTGCAAATACATCTATTCTACCTTCTTCTTCAAGTTGCTGTAGTAGACTATCTATGGCTACAAAAGTACCTGTGCGACCTACACCAGCACTAAAAGAATAAAACCAAACTGAAATGTTAGTGAAAATTCATATAAAAATGAACAGAAATTCAGACAGTTAAAGACAACGGTACGAATTACTTTCGAGATACGCTGAAACTACCCTTCATAGGCTCATCTTCTAACTTAGGCGGTTTGAAAGTGTTAGTCTCTTAATTCTTGAAAGAAAAAAAAAAAAAAAGTAATGTTTAAGCTGATGCAACATTCTATAATCTTCTCAACAAATTTAATCCATAATATCTGGACAATGATCATATGCACTGTAGAGTCATTATGTTACTTCAAAGCAAAATGAGCAATGCATTCGCCGGGACTCGAACCTGGACCTCTCGAATACGTGCCGAAGAAGCTTTCAATTACACTACGAAGGCATGCAGAAAGGAGGGAGAAAACACTAGCAGAGTTTTTATTGTAAAACTTTATATCTACATGCTTTTTCTTGAGTAAGAATTTTTTTTATTTTTAAAAAGGTGCCGATTTTATCTAGATTAAAATAATTCGTGGAAAAAGAGAACATGATTCTCCCCGCCCCCGACCATATAAAAGCAGAACTGGGAATATTAGGGCATGTAAATTCCAGTGAACACATTACTTCACTCAAACTCAGAGCTTAAAATGTGCCGGAGCGTGGCTCAGGTACTTCTCAGCTTTTGAAATCATAATTATAGGGTACCAGAGCTCTAAATAAGAGAGGCTCCGGCACTTGTTTTATGAAACGGAACCGTAATTTTAGTAGAAAATTTGTTTGATCTCATAAAATTTTATTTTAGTAATAAAGCAATTTTAAAATATTAGTTTTTAATTTCTGAATCATGTGTGTCTTTGTTTCTCTTTCGGATCTTCTCTCTTCATTTCCATACTTCACTGTTAACATTTCCTTATTGTCATACTACTTCTAGGATCTCCTCTAATCTCATGAGCGAAGTGTAAACCCAGAGCTTAAATTGCACTGGAGCCCGGTTCCAGTATTTCTCAGTTTTAGAGATAAATTGTAATTTTAGCCGGAGCGCACCAGAGCCTAAAAGGGCTCAGGCATTTCCTTTATGTAAGTGAACCACAATTTCAGCAGATATTTTTTTAATAGTAAACATACGTTAAAAATCAATTCTAACTTCTGAATGCAGGCCTGTCTTTTCCTCGCACTCAAGCCTTACACAGAGGTTGAAACTTTTTAGGAAAGAAAAGCCCCCCCCCCGCATTATATGCCAAAGGGTATTCTCCAATATCTGCAATGAATTTATGAGAGCGGGCAAATTTTGTGTTCCTCAAAATACTACTAAAAGTGATATCATGGTCGTGATAGTTCCACGATATGCCTATTGCAGAGCTCCTGTAGACTTTCTGCATGATGTAACCAAGCAGGGGGACTACAACTCTCACTTGTACAGAGAAGTTTTCCGTTTATTCTCACATTGTTACCGAATTCCATTCAGGGAAAATTTCTGCTTGACGGCTAGAATTACATCGACAGAGCATCGCGATAAGAAAGTCTTGAGCTCTTACTTCTTTATTTTCAAAGCTACACTTTTCTGTTAAATTGTCCTTTCATATCCTCATACTGTTTCTAGAATTTTCACTATTCTCCTTAGAGGAACTTTAATCGTTTTATCTTTTTTTCCTTGGTTGCTAAAAAAAAAAAAAAAAAAAAAAAAAAAAAAAAAAAGAGTGGTACCTGTCATCCTTTGGAATAGTACATTATACGCATAATCAGGGTTTAAACTCAGATGGAGATCGGCTGAGCTGCTTCTTAGCTTCTAATGGAACTGTAATTCTAGCCACTGCCCCAAATCAGTCAAGAAGATCCGATATTTTTTTTCTATTTAACTATTCAAAAGTAATTTAATAACTTATTAGATTTCTCTTTACATTTCTCTTAATTTAAATATTTTAATTTTTAGATATTTTATTTATTTATTTTTCTTTCGTTCCACACAGTCTTCATTAGGGCTCCGGCACTTCTAATTTTAGAAATTAGGCGCTGCATTAACCCTCTCATCTTTTCTTATTGTTGTGCTGCAAAACGAATCTCTGTTTCTACCATTCCTTGAAATAACAAATTATACATTATATTCCGGGTTTAATTTCAGCAGGAGCTTGGCCAGGCTATTTCTTGATTTTCGAGTTAAATAGTAATTCTAGCCGGAGCCTCAAATAAGACAAGGTCTTGTATTTTTATTTTATTATTTAACTTAATTTTTACTTATTTACATTTCATCGAGTTTTAATTACAATTACTTTATTATTTTAATTATTAATTACTTTACTAATTTGTTTTTCTTGACGGCTTTTCAAAGAGCTCCGACAATTCTAATTTTAGAAACTAAACAAATATTGCTTATTGGTATTGATCCTAAAGTTTTTATAAATCAGAGGCTTTCATCAGCTTGCCTTAAGCAATGAAAATCACTTTTCTTTAAACTCAGAGACCTTATTAATTTACTTTTACATACATTAGATATCTCGACTATAAATGTCCCTTAGCTTCTTTAACTTTTAAAACACAATGAAGTATGAAAAGGTGTCACTTAAAAAAACTTCAAATAGGAATGCACTTTCAGTTCGCTTTGAGCTGGACCTGCAAAGGGAACTACAGAAAACTTTTGACAACCTTTCCTTCCTTTGTTAATTTTCAGATAAAACACTAGGAATACCAAGGAACTTTTTATGTTTTCTGCTGACTCTTATCTTAAAACCCACAAAGTTGCTATTTCATAGTGGAATGACGGTAGATTAACTTTTGCAAACACTGTTTTATATAGAAAATATGCCTTGGTAGCAAACATTACTTGGGTACGCCTAACATCAATACATATTCTAATCAGTTCAATCTAAGTGAAGCAACAACCTGTGTTAGGCATAGAATTTTAGCATAGAAACAAAACACAGGTTGTTGCTTCGCTTTTATGATTTATTTGAGGAGTATTTCTCTTCTGTCCTTTTCAGTTTTAGTTTGTTTTCAAACCGAATGTAGTTTAGAATTACATGTATTAATTAAAAGTTTTAATTTATACACGAAAATAATTTTTGATCATTTGTTTTTACACAAATTGGCGATCCACACTCCTTTTATATGAAAATTGAGTAACAGTTTCAACTTAATACATATATAGTGTAGGGTTTCCCTTAGTTCAATTAACCGATTATTCAAATTTTTGTCATCTCTCCTGAACTCCTTCCTTCGCATTTCCTCGCCAGGATGCTAATTTAAATCTAAGTGAAGTAGGTATTTAAATGGGTGAATCTTGGAGTTATGCAGAATGTTAGCTGGGGTCTAATGAGAACGGAGAAATTCTTCTCAATTTTTTATACTACTGGAGACTAACACATTCCGGCCCACAAATCCAAGGCACTACTCTGACATTCTAGACCTTCTTTCTACTTCAGAAAATCTCCCGATTAGCATCAAAGTCATCAATGATCTTTCCTCCGATCATGTCCCAGTAATTGCTCACATTGGAATTAGTAAACCTGAAGTAAATAACATGTACAAAGTCAGGGACTGGAACAACTTCCAAAATCATATCAACCAACATCCTTCTGTCATTTGGCTCCTTAAAACAATCAATGATAACCGCCAGGCAATTTTAAATGTCAACAAGTGCATAGAAGATTCCCTTAAAATTCTACCACTGAATTTACCAGCAAAACAGCACATTTCAAGCTCCTGCATAACATTAAAACCGTCATTCAATCACGTAACAGGTTGCGCAAAATCTACACCTATTCACGTGACTCAGCCATCAAATTGGAAATTAATAAACTCAACAGGCACATCAAAGGCATGATTGAAGTACACCGTATCAAACTGTGGAATGACAAAATAAAAAAACTTAATGCAGAAGATGGGGAATTCTGGAAATCCCTTCGCACCTTCAAAGCAAATAGAACTAGCAACAAACCACTTCAGGCTGACTCCGGATACATTCATAGCAACAAGGAAAAAGACACGTTTGCCAAACAATTCATACCCTTCGGACCCAAATTTCATGAACCACGTTAACTGATAACTGGTCGAGTTAACCCAGTACTACTAACCTCCCTCTCTTCACCTCCCCACCTGAAATCAACTCTATCATTTCTAAACTTCACAACAGGAAAGCCCCAGGCAAAGATAAAATCTCTAACATAATGATTAAGCCAATAAAATTATAAACAAACTCTGTAGCATCGATAATACATGTCTTTACTTGAGCTATTTCCCGACGGAATGGAAGCAAGCAATTGTAATCCTCATCCCCAAGCCAGGGAAAGATAACACCAAAGTGGATGGATTCTACCCTATCAACCTGCTTCCAGCCTTGGGTAAAATTCTTGAGAATAATCCTTAACAGATTGCAGCCTGCCCTGAGCACCGTCCCAAACCAACAATTCAGTTTTCGTAAAGGGTTATCCACTACTATGCAGCCAGTTAGGATTGTGGAATTTGTGTGCGCTGCTATACATAAGCACTAGACAACTGATTTTCTTATGTTAGATGTGGCAAAAGCGTTTGACCACGTCTGGCATAATCTTACAAGCTTGCTTCGCTGGATCTCCCTAAGGAAATGATTAAGATCCTGCATTCATTTCTTAATAAGCATTCCTTCTGTGTAAGCCAGGGAGACCACCTCTCTGGAAACACCTTAATTAAAAGCGGCATCCCACAGGGTAGTATTGTCGGACCAATTCTCTATTTAATATATATAAAAGATTTTTCCATGCTTGACAATGCAAACTGTATCACTGCCTGTTACACGGATGACACTGCAATTCTCTTCAGCTTACTTAATCCCCCATATGCCATCACAAGGATCCAGATATTTACACACGAGATTGAGAAATGTTGTCAGAAATGGAGGACTTCAATAAACACATGAAAATCGAAACTTCTTCTCACAGGGCATCATAGAAGAAAAAGTGTCGACATTGACATTACCCTATTTAATAAAGAAATCCCCAAAGTAAATCAGGCCACTTATTTAGGAGTTCGTCTCAACGGCTTGCTCACATG